CTCTCTCTCTCTCTCTCTCTCTCTCTCTCTCTCTCTCTCTCTCTCTCTCTCTCTCTCTCTCTCTCGTCCTACCTCCCTCCCCTTTGCCCCCTCACCCGCTGGCAGTCTGCGCGGTCCTGTGCCGGCCTGGACCCTCCCGCGCCCGACGCCCAGCCCCGCGCCGCCTCTTTCCTCTCGTGTGACTTCGCTTGTCATTTCACGCGGCGATCTTTTCACGCGATGCGGTTTCCGACCCGCGGTCGGCTTTTCCCTTCGCTAGTCTTTTAACGTGACGCTCTTTTCACACGCCACTTGGTGCTTGCGCTGGCGTTGGTCCTGTCCCTCCCTGGCACACCCGACGATGGGCCCCTGCCGCGGTTGTTTGTGGGCCCGCGGCGGCATCTGTCGGTGGGACCACTGTATCTTTTAAGGGTACAGGGAAGAAACCGGGTGAGGGGCTGGATTGGTGGAGTGCGCCCTTTTTTTTTTTGAGGCCCTGACGCTCTGCTTCTAGTGTCTGGGCGAGGGGCGGGACTGTTGGACCACACCGTTTTGTTTTTGCCCCGACGTTCTTCGTTTAGTGCCTGAGCAAGTGTACCCAGGCACACTTTTTCTTTTCTCTCAACCTCGGTCCTGTGCACTGTACAGGTGGACCCAAGGGCTCTCTTTTCTGTTGAGGGGGAGAAGGTGGAAGTCACCAAAGGAGGGTGGCCAGGTGGAGGGAGGGGGGGGTCATTTTTTCAGGTGGTCCTGTGTCTGTGGGTTGGGTGACCCAAACCAACGCCTCACCCAGCTGTCACTCACCCGACGGGTGACCCAGAGCGTATGTTGACCCGCCATGACCCAGAAATGCCCAATAGCTGCACTCGCCCGTCACTCACCCAAGAAGGCATAAGTAGACCCAAGCCCAACTGCATCACCGTGTGGGTTGGGTGGGGCAGGTGGGTCCGGCTGTGGGCACCCGGTGCCCACCTCTGCCCCAGCGTGCATATAGCACTCCCCCCCTCTCTGCCCCTGTCTCTCCCCCCCTTCCTCCGCCCCTTCTTTATTTGTGAGTTTTGTTAAGCATCTTGTGACTTCGTTCGACATTCCTGCTCCCCTTACATTGCATGTGCAGCATACTGCGAACTTCGTTGGTGTCCCTCCCTGAACATGAGGGGACGGGTTGTTTTTCAGCTTGAAATAGGGAGGGCGGTATTTTTCAGCTTGCAAGCCCTCTTGTCATCCAGAAGCAAGAGTACTTTCAAAAGTGTGTTTCCTTGTACGAGCCTCATTGCAGGTAGTTGTGACCAAACCGCTGTGCAGCACGGGCAAGTAGGCTTGCAGTGGTTAATTGTTATGTCGTTGATTGATAGGTGGGAGTTTCTCACGTTGAGTGCGTTTGGTGATGATGTCAGTATGGCGACACGTTGGGTACTGTGGAATGGAGGGCAGTGTGGGCACAACTGTTGAATTTCATCTTATCTGGTGTGGCGAAACTGAATTTCATCTTACTTTGGTGTATTTGGGTGTTGGTTATGGTGGTGGCCTGTACTTTTTAGATTGGGCGAGTCATAACTGGGATGCTGGAAGCGCTTGGGATTGTGGGCAGGCTGCTGAATAAGAAGCAACTGGCATCAATCATGGACCAGAATAATGATGCAGAAGGGTCGGGCAGTCTCATAGAGCTGATGGGAGATGATAAACAGACAGAACTCTCAGCCGGAATAAAGGACTCTTTCACCTTTGTATTTCAGGTAGATCTCCATGCCCATTATTGCTGCTTGTTTGACTTGTTGTGCTCTTCATAAGGGGTGACATGAATTTCCTGCGTTGTTTACATAAAAGATAAATGGGTTTATGAGAATGTGTGAAGCGATTACTTTGAGAAACAAGTAATGGAGTGTTTTTGCTTTATAGTGCCTTTCTTTTTGTTTTTTGCTTCCCTAGTGCCTTTTTTTTGTTCCGCTTGGGATACCCTCTTCTTCTTCTTCTTCTTCTTCTTCTTCTTCTTTTTTTTTTT